GTCTATTATTCAGTAGAAGGAATATAGGGGAAATTATAGAAGTCTTTACTAACAGAAATCTTACTCTGAAGGAAGGAAAACAGACTGTGAACACAAGGAAAAAATAAAGCATTAATCTGAAAGTGAACTGCTAGGAAGGATAAGAAAGCAGAATAATGAACAATCATATTGCCGACTATCATAAAGGTAAAGTTATATTCAATATGTTCTTTTGAAAATATAAGACAAAATCCTTTAACTTTGAAAAACTTGTCTTAAAATACTCAGAAGTCTAACATTTGAGTTATGAGAATCTCCCCAAAAACTAAGCTCTCTAACACTACATCAATGAAGTCAAACGTCAAATCAATGTCCCTCCAAACCCATATTTCATGAAGTCAAGCATCAAACCTATGTCCTTCCAAACCCATATTTCAGATCAATCTTTCATTCTCGATTTTATTCACATTTTCAGATTCTCTCTTGGAGAGAATAACCATTTCCCAACTGATTTTCCTAATAAAAATTTCCCTCTGTTTATAATTAATTCTCCCTAATTTATCAGAATTAAATTTCTAAAAAGAGCTATATGCTCATGTTGCCTCTTACCTGACATATCTTCCATGGCTCTCCATTCCCACAGCGAAGTCAAATCCTCCTATGATTTCCTTCAATGTCTCTCGCATCCTCTGCCCAGTTACAATTAATCTTCTCAAATAGGCTCTGTTCCAGCCAGCTTCATTTCTTCCCACAAACACCCCCTTGCTTCCCCTTGTCTGCTAAATTCTACTCCCTACTTCTGTCAGTAATCTATCTAGTGAATCATCTTTCAACAAACAGCTAATTGCCATCTTCTGTTTTGAAAGTTTCTTTGACAAAGATTGAAAATGTGATTTCCTCCCTTCATCTTCCAAAGTACGTTATTTATATTATTATTGTACCCTTTGCCGAAATAAGCTTTAAATATCATCTATCAATCTATCTGTCACTTATCAATCTGTCCTCTAGTCTCCTTCATTGATAAATTGTGCAATAATCTGTGAGATTATTTATATTTAAGTTTAAATTTTTTAGCAGAACCTTAACACAAAATAAGCACTTCATCATTATGGTTGAAATGAATCTGTCACATGAAGTCACAGCAATATTTCCATGCTCATAATCAGGACAAATTACACAGTTATTTATAATAAAAAAAATTATGTTCTAGATGTTAACATCAAAAGAAAAAAGTCAGCCAGATGGTGGTGCATGTCTTTAATCCCAGCACTTGGGAGGCAGAGGTAGACAGATCTCTGTGAGTTCAAGGCCAGCCTGGTCTACAGAGTTAGTTCCAGGACAGGTAGGGTTGTTATACAGAAACACTGTCACACACACACACAAAAAAAAAAGTAAATAAATAAATAAATGAAAGAAAAAAATCAAATAACAATTCTTTATTTAAGAAACAGTGAATGTATGTATTGAATACTCACCATTAATAAATTGGAAACTTCTTTTTCTTATCAAAATGCAAATTAGCAATTCATTAAGTGTGAAGTCACATGTTGGTGACATTGTAGAGACAATGACTTTTTAAAGGAACATAAGGAAGGACATTGAGAGAACAGGGGGAAAAAAGTCAGTAGAAATAGGATATCAAATACTCCAAATATTCTGCTTCATTTTGATTTGTTTTGTGCTGTTGAAGACATGGTCTCATTAGACAGCCATGCGCAGCATAGAATTCACTGGGTAGCTCAGGCTGGTTCATCTTGTGGTATTCCTACTTCAGCTTCTTGAGTAATGGGAATGCAGGCATGCACTGTCACACTGCACTTTAATTTTTTTTCTTTCAAGAATAATATGTATTAACAGAAACTGGCCAGTCCCAGTGTTCCTAATTTCCAAAATTAGGCTTTGTAAACAAATGTGGGACTTCAAAACATAAGCTGTCTAGTGTCTTAACACAAAGCTCAATTAATACATTTCATCTTGTTCTATGGTTTCTCTTCTCAGCAATTAGCCTGTATATGTTATCTCATTTTTTTCAGAAGTTAAAGATTTAATGCTGTTATGTGGTCAATTTACAATCCCCCAGATAAAATTACACACTTTATAGGTTTTGTTCTTGAACTGGCTAGGTTGTATCCTGTTGCTGTATCCACAGTTATCATTTTCCTCCTAATATGCTTCAGATCTCTTAGGTTTGCTAGTTATTTGTATTTTTAGTAGCTGGGTAAAAGCCAATCTCTAAATCCTTTTTTTTCCACTTTAAAAAATTCTCTAGATGATCTAAGTTGAGATTCTTTATCAGAACCAAAATTTTGATGTATATGTGTCACCTAGTTTTAATCCCAGCATAGGAACCACTTTAGAATTTAATGAGGACATCAAGTCAGCCTCTCTCCCAACAGTGAACAAAACCTTAGTTCTCACCACAGGAACTCATAATTCTTTTCTTACATCCTTAGTAGCTACTGTTAGATAGCATCCTTTCAATGTGTCATATAATTCTCTACAGCCTCATTAGAGTGAGCATGGTTTCATTCCCAAAACAACTTCTAATTTCCAGTTCAGCCTGCTTTCATTTGCTCATGCAATCTTGGTGCAAAAATCTGTCTTCTGTCCATGGGAGCACCAACAACCTTGACTTCTCTTTATCTCAGAGTCATCCAAGGACAAGGGCTTGCTAAATTATATTTTTATGCATGTGTATGTGCATATGTATATGTCTTGTGTGGTTTGTGAGTGGTATATGCATGAGATACATTTCCTAGCGTGTGTGCTTGTGTGCACTCATCACACACATAGGGAGGCCAGAGCAGCCTACTAGGTGTCTTCCACTATTGTTCTTTCCTTTATTTCCTTCAGACAGGGTCTTGGGATCTCTCAATTGATCCAGAGTCCTGCTCTTTTAGCTAAACTGCTCAACCAGAAAGTTTTAGGGCTCTGTCCTCCAACCCTGGGGTTATAGTCACACAGAACCATATCCAGGTTTTTATATGAGTGCTGGAAATTTGAACTCAGGCCCTTATGCTCTCATCTAAAACTCTCTTACCTACAGAGCCGTCTTCCAAGCCCTTTAAATGACACTTCCTGATATTATACATATAACCCAGATTTCCAGAGTATATGGTGACAGGACTATATGGTTCAGTATGTATATACATCAATATTATATTTTGAAGTATTATCTCATTATGACTTAAATAGAACTATCCATGAATAACTTTCTTTTATTTCCACATTCCTAATGAGCAATGTAACAGGTTTTTGTTTGTTTGTTTGTTTTTTATGGGGTGTGTTTTTTGTTTTTAGGTTTTGGTTTTTCAAGATGGTTCCTCTGTGTATCCCAGGCTGTACTAGAATTCACACTTTGTAGACCAGGTTGGCCTCAAATTCAGACATTCACTTGCCTCTGCCACCAGAGAACTGAGGTTGAAGGTGTGTGCCACCATGCCCATGACACCTTTATAATACAGAGAGTCAGTCCTTCTGCTATGCCCTTTCGTCAATATCATGTATGAAATATTTGGATCTTTCCTAGAAGTCACTGCCTCATAAAATTGTGGGAAAATATGATTCTACCCCTAATCACAGATAAGCTTGAGAATGACATCCATATGTTAGATTTAGAAGCATAACTGGCAAAAATGGTGAGTGGTGCTAATGACAAACAATATGTTCTTTTAAGACTGATGCCAAATCTTTAAAGGGCTCAGCAGTTACAGGTTCACACGTCTCTTGTTTGGTCCCAACACCCATGTCAGGTGGCTCACGTCCAGTGGTAACTCCACCTCCATGGCAGTCTGGTACCCTGTTCCTGCCTTCAAGGACATCTACACACACAAGACATACATTCACACAGAAATATACACATAATTAAAAAGAAAATGAATAAAATCTAATGACTTCAAATCTCATGGGTTCATGTAGTTACTTCAGTGACTTTTATTGTTCATTTCGGCCTCCATGTAAAGCTCCAGTGGAGGTACTTATAATCCAGAGAGGGAAAAAAAGCCAGATTGTGTCTTCTACCATACAAGTTACATCACAATATTTCTTCCATTTTGGGAAGAGGGGAATAGAAAAACAGAAAACACTGCCCTGAAGAAATTCATAATTCACAATGAACCTTTTATTTGGGAATGGAGAGTTGTCCTTCTTTATGTCCTTTTCATATCTCCTGTCATCAGTTCTATGGTCCCTGGCAAAGTTTCCCTTTGTACTTTTCCAGGAATTGAGAAACACTCTCTTCTTTGTGCTAAGTAGCTTTACCAGTCCACTTGCTGTTTATAGAAGTTTTAGAACAATAATAAAAGCCTTTTAAATTTGCTAGACTTTTAGTTTTTAGTTTAATGTATGCTGTAGCAGACAATTTCCTCAAAAATCAGTAGACAGGTCATTTCATGTCAACCAAAATGAAATACTAATAGCCAAATTGACCATTCAGAACACATTGAAAGTATACAGCATTAATTCTGTTTCTCTCTTAACACCAACCCATACTTAACCCAGCTGTGAAGCTATGAACCTTGACCATGGTAGCTCCGTGACTGAGATATATTTTAATCTATTTTCTATGAGACATTTTAACTAATTAAAGATTTTCTTTACTTGGCCAAGCTTTTAATTGGATCTTAAATCTGGGACACTTTAATCCATTCAGAGATTATAATGACAGTTGTGATAACCACCCCTTAATTTGATTCTTGCCAATAAAATCCCTTTTCTATTTTTCTACTTAGACTCCAATAGCCATAGAAATATCTGCCCTTCCAATTCTAGAAATCCCTGGGTTTCTATGTTATTCTTTCTAAGCTATTTTTTGGTAAACTCTTCCTCAGAATGACTTCAAACCATAGTCAATAGAAGTCAATAAAAACAACCCGTGTTAACTTTGCTAGCTAATTCTCTACAAATTCAACAAGTATATGCCTGCTCATCCATGCTCCTCCAATATCTTTTCACACATTTCTTTGCCAGTGGATAGCATGAACTATTAATATCCAGACTCAGACTTTGAACAACCCTTCTGTTTAGTCCATTGTCCAGATTTTACATTTTTAAAGTTTATGCCAAATGTAGTATGTATGTCTGTACAATGATTAGTCTAGGCCATGCTAAGGTAACAGTCTCCAAATACTGGTTATTTAAAATGGTAACAGTGGAAAAAGCATTGCACATTTATTGCTAATGCATACTTGCCTTTATGTGTGGAAGACCACCTTCTCAGGAAGCATCTCTGCGTGCAAAAACTGAGCATTGCAGCTCTGTTTTTTTCCTTAGTTGGTGCCATAGGAAAAAATAAGAAAAATCATATGTCATCCTTTAAGTATTCTACTTAGAAATGATTCATAGAATTTTCTTCACATTCCATTGATTAAAGCAAGTGCCACAGTCTCACCAAATTCAGAAAGTAGGAAAAATGCAGTCAAAATGTATGTTTGGAATAACACGTTAAAATTGTTGGCAGTACTCATGAACAGCTCAGATATCCCATGGGAACCAGCAAGCTGTGATCTCTCCCACTGTGACTGTTCTTTGACTGCTGTGACCTTGTGACTGAACTCTGAAATGTGGAGTCTCCCTGTTACCAGACACCTGTTTCTGAGCCATGACAGTCATAAGGAATAAGAATTAGAGAAATCCAAATCTCCAGTAAAATGAGGTTATTAATTTCAGTTCTACAGTCAAATTTTTACATGAACAATTTTGTTTGGTACAATCTGCTTTGCAATTTCAAACTTATCTAGAAAGGAATCTAATAAATACAGGTTTTTAGCTTTCTGATATTTATAGTCAGAAGAGGTGCAAGGCCTAAATTTTACCATCTAAAAAAACTGTGAAGAGAATACACAGTAGAATGTCTCATATTCTACTCTTATTTTCTCAGAAAATTAATCTTTTATTCACTATTCTTGATGATATTTTACCTGATTCTACCTAGAAATGTCAAATTCCTTTATAGTCATATATAATGGGAAAAGTTAAAATGAAATTGAAAATGTGGCATGGATACCTAAATTTCACATCATATTTTCAAAAATAAAAGTAATTTAAAATCTTACCGTAAAAAATGATAAAATGAAATATTTTTACAAAGATTTATCAAGTATGAGAGATAAGTCTTTGAAAAATGTTTATGGAAAAAATTATTTATTTCATGATCCTTTGAGAAATGGTTAACATAAGATAGATTCCTGTGTTCATTTCTTGTATTACTGTGAAGACAAAATTGCAAAAGGAGACTGTAATTCTCAATCTCTCTCTCTCAAATCCTTGTACATCTACTGTTTCTTGTTTATGTACTCCACAATTTATGCAGTCTCAGGAAATAAATTTGGCATAATTTTATTAAGTTTCTTATAATCAAAGGAAAAATGCATATCTATATTTTCAACCTTTTCTCATTTCTCCCCATACCTAAAATTTTATTTCTACACAATGACATCTATTACAAGAGTCAATAATTCAAACATTAGGAATATATATATTCAAATTATATATATATATATCACATATATGTGTGATTTAAAATGATAACTGTGTGTGTGTGTGTGTGTGTGTGTGTGTGTGTGTGTGTGTGTGAATGTGTGTGTGTGTGTGGTATGTGTATCATTTGAAACTAAATATCATCTCTGCGAAATTTAAAATGTGTAGTTTGGCAACTTGCAGAGAAACTCCTGTTCCAATAATGAGTATGAATAAAACGTAAACAAATAGATAAAGAAATAAATTTTAAAGACATTCCTTTGTATTGTTATTGTTACGAGCTTTAAAATTTCTGGTTCCAGGAACAGCCTGATCTAATGACTTTGATTTTCAGGGAGGCTGACCAGGGTCTCTCCAGCCAGCATTAACTGGAGCCAGCCCTCAGTATCAGGAGACTGATTTAAACTTTGATTTCAGAAAAGGTTTACCTGAGGAATGCCTCCTCTGGTTGGTGATAAATCTGCTCCTTTCAGGACACACTGGAGTCCAAGGTGTAGTTAAATCGAGAAAGAGGACACAATATGAATTAAGGATGAAAACACGTTATGAATCAAGGAGACAACTTAAATATAAGTGGTATGTAATAAACACGAGAAGACAAAGGAAGGGAAACAGAACTCGGGTTGCCTGGAAACAATCAATTCCCATTTTGATAAAACATAGAGTCTAGGAGAGTAATTAGCATCAAGGCCAGATCAATTTTCTTCAACACAGTATTTCATTAGATTGCTACATGACAGCATACTAATTAAAACTGATCAGTCTAATTAGAATCCCATTAACAGGAAAGGCAATGGCATCGAATGTTCTAACATTCATGAAGCAGTGACTGTAGATGCCATTTTAAAAGGTCTGTTTCTAATTTTATTAAGAGAAAACAAAAAATATGAGGTCGACTGGCCAAGGAAGTTGAGACACACTAGAAGACAAGCCCCTAAGATTCTAATACCCAGAAATTTAAAAGTTTGTTAGAGAAAAACGGAAACAAAGTACAGTGTGTCCAAGCATTCTAGCAATCACAAAATCATAGTACATGAAAGCCAGAGACAGGAGGATTAAGAGTTCAAGACTACCCTTAAATGCAAAGGGAGTTCAAGGCCAACAAAAAGAAAAGACAAAAAAGTCTACAAAATTATCATTTTAAAAATTCAGGATGAAATAAGATTATAATTTTAGAGACATAAGATAAAAATAAATTGTAAATGTAATAGTAAAATAACTCACTTGGCTTCGTTCCTTCGGTAAATACCATCATGAAAAAAGAAAAGATGAAATTACAGTAGCTATGGTATTTAGTATTCATAATAATATAACCAGATTTCTTGGGAGATTGAATCAAAGTCAAATCTTTAACATATTTGTTATGTGCATTGTTTTCTACCACTACGTGCTTTCTCTTTTACACATATATACTAGAAAAGCTGAGCTGTGTCAACATAAGATGCTTAATGTTCACTGCATATATGTTATCTGCATTTGATGAACCTTTGTCCAGGTAACATAGACACAAACCTTTTCTGTTTTATTTGTGTGAGAGGAAGAGTTATGGGAAAATGCCAACATGCATAATTCTTGCCTAGACTCTACCTCACTGGTGCCTGGAAGGCACTTGATGGTCTTCAATCTTCTAAAGCCTTAGATGGCAAGTTCTCAGTTTTTTCTGTACATTGTCATTGTCTGAACATACTGAGGTTTCTGTTATTGTCCAGGTTAGAGGAACTGCCCAACCCTGTGAAATGCTACTTGTCCATGGTTCACTAGGACTCACAGTGACCCTTTCTGAGCAATTCTCTTCAAACATATAGGGTGCTTAGAATGCCTAGACACTAGTATTTTAGGAAAATCATAATTATTGAAATGCATACATGATCAAATGGTTCATATGATGATGCACTATGCTATATTTCCCCCCTTTCCTTTGCTTGAAAAAGCCTCTTGTCTCTGTTGAAAATTTTATGTTCCAATCCACCAATTTGTCCATTGAATGTGAAGCCATCAGCCTACAACCATTCACATATTCTTCTTCTCATCGTCAGACTGTATTTTCAGTATAGGAGAAATGGTAATACATGAAGCTTCCTCCTAAATGTTGATAGATCATCTATATTAGTCAGGATTCTCTAGAGTCACAGAACTTACAGAACGAATCACTCTCTTTTTATATACATAAATATATGGATTTATTGGAATAACTTAGAGACTGCAGTCCAACAGTGGCTAGCTGTGAATGGAAAGTTCAAGAATCAAGTAGTTGCTCAGTCCCACAAGGTTTGGTGTCTCAGCTGGATTTCAGTATATGCTGGAATCCAGAAGAAGTAGGCTTCTGTGGGAGCCCAGCTGGGATACTAGCTCCCACATTTTACGACAGAGCACTCTTGAGGAGTGAGGGATAAGAGATATTAGATAGAAGGATAGAGGGGAGAGAAACAGAAACACAGGATAACCTTGGGTGGCCTGGATCATTATCCACTGGCCCTTTCTGTCTCTTCTAAAGGGCCATTTATAGGAATCCCAAGAGGTGGAGCAAAAGACTTCCCCCTAGCACAGCGAAGTACAGACCCTTCCAATCACCTGATAACCACACACATGGTCAAGCAATCCTCTAATACAGCCCTGCTTAGTAAAGCAAGCTCAGATAACACTAGAAAATCTTTGTGGGCCTCCGCAGGCTCCAATGTCAGTGAAGGAAGTGATGTGCTGACAAGGCAAGGGCAAGCAGGCAAGATGGAAAAATACCTTCCTTCTTCCATTGTCCTTTAAGCAGAAGGTGTGGCCCAGATTAAAGATGTGCCTTCCCACCTCAAGATCTGGATTAAAGCTGTATATTATCTCACCTTAAGATTCAGATCAAAAACTTTTGTCTACCTGTCTCAAGAATCAGATCACAAGTTTGACCTACATTTCTAGACTATAGTTTACTATAAATAAAGTCAAGTTGACAAGCAAGAATAACCATCACAATCCACCCTTGTCAACTTGACCCATAATTATGTCGTGATCAATTTCCAAATGAAAACAATAACCAGGTCATAATAACACCTAAACATAACTATGCCTTGTATAACTACAAATGCATTATATATTTAACCAGGTCACAATTATGCCTAACATGATGTAACTATCCCTTATATAACCACAAATGCATTATAAATCTAGAATAGGGGCAATGGCCCTTGAGGGACACCTTTTCTTAGTTAGGGTTTCAATTGTTGTGAAGAGACACCATGACCATGGCAACCCTTATAAAGGAAGACACTTAATGGGGTGGTTTACAGTTTAGTAAGTTTAGTTTACAGAGGTTTAGTCCATTATCATAATGTTGGGACATGGCATAAAGTATGCAAGCAGACATGGTGATGAAGCTGAGAGTCCTACATCTTGTACAGGCAATAGGAAGAGGTCTCTCTCAACTGGGCATGGTTTGAGCACATATGATACCTCAAATCCTCCCTCCACAATTGACACACTTATTCCAATAGGACCACACCTACTCCAAGAAGGTTACATCTCCTAATAGTACCACTCCTTTGGTGGCCACTTTCTTTCAAACCACCATACCACCCATTCTCATTAATTATTCCTCTTACACACAATAGGAATAATTCTCTATTCTTGTCTACTTAGACAAGTAATGCAGTATTCTAACACAGGATTTAGATACTGTATATAGCTTGCCCTATGAGCTTTTCTAATATATGCTGTATCTACATAATCTCAGATGTTTCACCCAATCACAAGGTCAATTTGGAGTGTGTATGTTTGTGTGTGTGTGTGTGTGTGTGTGTGTGTGTGTGTGTGTGTGTGTGTGTGTTTAATAGAATATTCTAACCAAATGAAGTACAGTTTAGCAAAACAAATGTCTAGTGTTGCAGAATATTTGTTTAACTTTGCAAAGATGTGTTCCATTTGTTTAATTATGTTAAGATTTCATTTCAATTATGTACAGCTTTCATTTTAAGTGATATTACTTCTAATTATTTGGCCAATTTTCAAGTAAGGAAGGGGCAGAGCCAACCACCAGAGCCACAAAACAGAAGGCCTCGTTGCCTCCAGAGTTTAAGGTTTGGCTCACACAGTCAAAGAATATTACAGGTGCACAGTAAAACAAACCCAAACAGAAAAAAAAAACTTTAAACATGTTACAGTGTGCATAGGTGCTTAAGAAAGAAAAGAAAATGGGTATAGGAAGTAAAAAGAAAAATAGTTAAAAAAATAATTAAGTAGAGTCTTTAAAGAAAGAGTAAAGTAATACAAATAAATAAATAAATAAATAAGGCATGTAAAGATTGGAAATACATAAGTAGTATGAATCATGTATGATATTTTGTTGCTGCTGAATTTTCTGAAAGCTGATGAGCAAATGACAGCTGCTGAGAAACATGGGATTGTAAAAGCAACCACAGGATTAAACCAACCTAAACACTTTAGGGATGCCTTAACTTTAAAAAGAAATTCAGAATATGTATTGTGTTGGGGGAGAGGTTATGCTTTTGTTTCCACAGGACATGGAAGGCTATGGATTCCTTCAAAATTAATAGAGACAAGATTTGATTAAGGGAGATCTCTGAAAATCTTGGCTATATATATATATATATATATATATATATATATTTCTTTATGTATACATAAAGAAATAACCCTAAAAAAACTACAAATAGGTGACATATATGCTGATCCCTTGATGTGGGAACATCTCTGAGACTGAATTAGATAAGATAAATCTTGTTGGTTATAGAGTCCACATAACATACTATTCTTTCATATGGCATGGATATAAGTTTGGTTATACAGTCCAAACAAACCTATAAAGTTGACAAATGTCTTTTTTGTTTTCAAACAAAATAAAAGCTCATCTTTGTCTGGCTTGTATATAACACACTGCTCATATTTGTGTTAATGCAGAGATGTATGTCACCTTTGAAAGTTTGTGTGTTTTCAGAGCAAGGAGACCAGATACATTGAAAATGGATGGATCATGTGATCCAGCTTTTTAGAGTGCCACTGTTGCAGTTTCCTCAGATTCTGCACTCAGAAAAACTTCAAGGCTGCTAGCTGAGATGGTCCAGCCTCACAGACTCTTCTAGCCAGGATTTCAGATAAGTCTTAATCTTTCCCATTGCACAAAGACTGGACAACAAGTGTTATAGCTAATTTTCTTAAGTCTTGACTATTATCTCAATTTTCTCAGGTACCCTGGGGATGTCATCACCTCCAGACAACAGGAAGCAGTCTAAAGAACACAATGCCCACATTCCCAAGAGTTGAGGTGCATGGTTTTTGGTCACTTGATGGGTTATGTATTTTTGTCGACCTTTAGTGGGAATATAGAAATATAGGATAAAATGACAACTATTCATCTAAAATATTTTACATTGGTATAGATTTTTGTGTAATAATAAAAATTAAAGATTATTTTGTTATTTGGTATATATGCTTCTACTCTTAAGGTATTGTACCTATGCAGCTCATTTGAAAATGTGATATAAAGTTCTAGTCCTTGAAAACTATTATTCCTCCTTCCTCTCTTACTATCCCCTCCCCTCCATTTCCGCTCTGCCTTCACTTTTATTCCACTCCTCCTTGGTTTCTGTTCATAAAAAGGCAGGCCTCCCATGGATAGCAACAAAACATAGCATATCAGTAAAACTGAGCACCTCCCCTTGTATTAAGGCTGGGCAAGGCAACCCAGTATAAGGACTAGGTTCTCAAAAGAAAGCCCCTGTTCCCTATGTTAGGAGTCCCACAAAAGACCAAGCTACACAACTGTTACATTATATGTAGAGGGCTTAGATCAGTCCCATACAGACTCCCTGGCTGTTGGTTCAGATTGTGAGCTCCTATGAACCCAGATTAGTTCATTCTGTGAATTTCCTTGTAATGTCCTTGACCCCTCTGACTCATATAATCCTTCTTCTTTAGCAGGATTCCCCAAGTTCAGCGCAATGTTTGTCTGTGGGTCTCTGCAACTGTTTCCATCAGTAACTGGATGAAGCCTCTCTGATGACAATTGGGGTAGGCACCAATCTATGAGTAACACAGAATATCATTAGGCATCATTACATTGACATTTTTTTCCAGTAATGTTTGGTTCAATCCTATGTGTCTGGATCCTGGGATTCTAAGTAGTGTCAGGAGTGGGCTCACTCTTACGGCCTGGGTCTCAGGCTGGCCCAGTCATTGCTTGGCCACTCCCATTATCTTTGTGCCACCCTTATCCCAGCACATTCCATAGGCAGGACAGACTGTATGTCAAAGGTTATGTGGCTGAGTTGGTGTTCCAATCCCTCCCCTGGAAGTCTTGCCTGGTCATAGGAGATGACCAGGTCAGGCTATAATCTATTGTTAGGAGTCTTAGCTAGATCTTCTTTATAGACTCCTCCAAGTTTCCTTTGTCCCAGGTTTCAACATGACCCTGAAATGACCCCCCTTTCCAGTCATCTCTTTCAGCACTCTTCCCCTCCCTCTACCCCACAACCTAATCCCTCATTATCCCATTCCCACCCACTCCCAGTCTACCCTCGAAATCTCTTCTTTTTGCCATTCTCAGGGAGCTGAGAATGTCCCCCCTTGAGCACTCCTTGTTACCTAGCCTCC